GCTGTGAACAGGATACAGTCCCTGCCTTCGTGCCACTGACACGGCAGTGGAGGAGTGTGTGTGACACCTGCCTGTTCCACCACTCACACCTGTGACCTTGCCATCTGCAAACCTTAGGTGTGCCCTGATTTCATCCTGCAGCCGCCCACAGAAGACATGCCATAGCAGGTGGCAGCTGTTTCTCATGAGTTCTTTCCAGATATTTTAGGCATCTCAGGAGATAGAGTGAGCATTATAAGGAAGAGAAAACAAGATTCTTTTCTAGAAGAGGTGCAAGAGCCCATAGTTAGAAATCTCCTGGGGGAGGTGAAAAGAAGGGTTCCTGAGGGGTTTCAGGGGGCTGGTCCCACAAGCGCACGGGCTCCGCGACAGCCGTCACGCAGTCCCTTGGGATCTGTGTCTTTTCTACGTGTACTTATACTTCAATACAGAGTTCAAAAACACCCTCCCAAACCCTAACCCTCGCAGACACTTAGAACACGAACAGGGCTGATCCGAGGGCGCCTGTACTGTGCCGGTTATTCTGGGGACAAAGGGTGAGTGAGGGGCGAGGCCCTTTCTCTTCTGGCTGCTTGAGAACTTCTCGGATTTTCCAGAGCCGGGTGTGAGTTCTCCCGCCATTCCCTTTTCCCTTCCCCGCTCGACCTTCACACTGTGAATCTGGGGCCCGCCCTCCCACATCTCTGATCCCCAAGGCACCGGCATCCCCACTCCCTCAGAACCGACTCCAAAGCGGGGAGAAGGGGGACACAAGATGCCGCAGGTGCTCCTGGACTGAGACTTTCTCCACAACACGGACGACAGCGACACCTGCTGGCTGTTCCCGCATCGTGCAGTGTCTGGGGGGGAGAGCGGCTCGTTCAGGGAGCTGAACCCCAAGGGCATCTAGGAGCCACTCCGAACAGTGCAGCCGCCAACAGCCCACATCCCGCCTGGACGGAGTGCCACCTTTTCTTAAAATATTTTCTGAGATACCTTCGGAGCTCAAGGTCCTTTTCCACGGCCACATCCTTGAGTTCACCCAGTAAGTCCAGCACCTGGACGTTTTCTTCTGAATTGCCAATGCCAAGGTCTTCCAGGAGTTTCTGAGTGGTCTTCAGTTCAGACTGCAGGGCGTCTAGGGCGGGGGAAAGCGGTCGTGAGTGACAGACTGCAAGGTGCCCAAAGCAACAGACGCGCGAGTTGAGTAGCCCACCAGATTTTTCTCACTTCGCTGCAGTGCTCTGCTAGAGCTCACAGGCAAGAAGGGTAAGCAGAGGAAGATGCTCGTGCGTTGGTACCTTCTCTTTGTCCCTTGGCCAGAGATCATGGTGGCCTGAGATAGCAGGACAGGCATGTCCACCCGGTGCTCATGCAAACAGACCTGGAATGCTACTCTGGTGTCCTCGACAGAAACCAGTGCAAGATGCAGGAAAGGCTATGCTGTGTCAGCGTCACCGGGGTCTCCCAGCCAGGCCGGGAGCAGCTTTAAAATCCCATCCTTTGTATTCCCTGATCCTGGCACCCCTGCATCCCGAGCCGAGGGACACCCGCAACCCGAGTATGTACACCACGTGCATTAAGACAACACACCTCTCCCCTCGGACACACGTCATATCTAGGCCAGCTGTACGCTAGGATCCCATTC